TTGTGCATATTCACTGTTCTGTAGGGGACAGAGATCTCTTGGCCTGTATCAAATTGTCCCAGCATACTAAACATTATTGCTAGACAAAGTAAGCAGGTAGCAATACAACAAAATACCTATCCTATTAATAACAAGAGTCAGGTAAAGATGGCAAAGCCAATGCAATGAGATTACAGCACTAAACCCAAGCTAAGTGCTTTGTTCTTACTAAGTTAGACTTAACTTTGCATTCAGAAACATCACAATTTTTCCCTTCAGGATCCCTCTCAAAAGGCCAGTGCAGCATGATCTCAGCACACAGATGTTCTGCCAGCTCCCTCTCTGCAAGGAACGCATCTCATGTCTTGCATCTAGCTTGTTCCAGACAACGCTGCATCCTTTGGTAATAGTTTTCACAGGACAGAACCCCCAGGCAATTCAGATTCCCCCATCTGATCTCAGAGGTAACAATGAACTAAAGTAAATAGTGAATAAAGAGTGCACTTAAACTTTGTCAAGCTTTCCACTTCCTTTCGATTCCCTATTCACTAACTCCAGCAAGGTTAAGTAATTGAAGTCTATGTAATTCCTTTCTTTACAAGAGAGGAAGGGAAGCAATGCAGAATAAGGCCTACATTATTCCATTGTTCATTCAAGTACTGATGACACTTGCAATTAAATCAAAGTATTTTAAATAAGTCCTACTGCATAAACACCTCACAACATAAGCAACAGTTTTAGGGAAATGTAATAAGGTTATGTAGAGCAGTGCTATCTGTCACAATAAGGCAGAGATTAGGCATCTTGCCTTCCAGTACACAGTCCTATAAATGAACAAAGAAACAGGTGTGCAGATTAATTGCTATGACCTATTTTGTATCTGTTTCATTTCTACAATAAAGGATTATATCCTCTATACTTCATCATTATGTTTCTTCCATAAGTTTTAATCTTTATGAAAACAGTTCTACCATACTAAACCAGCAGAATGAGCTGCATTGAATCCATCACTTCATAGCTTTAAAAGTGAGAGTGGAAAATAAGCACAGAAAGCCTCCACCCAAAAAACCACTATAAATTCTGTCCAGATGATAAAACTGAGGTCTTTAGAAGGCAAGCCAAATAAGGTGAGGGGGTGTACGGAGGAATTTTCACTTTTTTCCTTCTGATAACTTCATTCGTCAACTACCAGCAAAAACCTCCACTCCTTGCTCAGCCTGAGAACCCACCTCCTTCCTTCCAGTGTACTTAATAAAAACATATAGCGCATCCTTGTAAAGGAGACATAACAAGATACAAGCCACAGGACTGCCCCACATGTATGACAAGAATTCTTGACAGCTCCTCCTCCTACAGAGAGAGAAAGCACAGTAGAACTGCACATCCACTGCAGGCTCTTGGCAGGTTTAACACAGAACCAGCTGAACACTTAGTGTCCTACATGCAGCACTTTTATTTGTTCATCTCTCCTCTTAATGCGAGAGTGTGTGGAACACAGGACATGCATGTACCCAACACTTATCAGTCCAAAATGAACATTTTATCAGACACTTCTCTTACAAACACCAACCCATCCATCCACGCAAAACATGCAAGTGGGCAGTAAGCCTGGCAAGACCCATTTTAATGACTGCATCTCAGTTTATGGCTTCAATGTCTGCCCACTCCCTCGTATCTTAAGAACTTATCAAAATAGTGTAAATAAAACTATGAGGAAGAAAAGATGTAAAGAACACATTCCTAACGCTAACAGAGTACAAGCTAAAGAATGCTTATTAAAAACAAAGAATGGTTTTAAACAGTAAGTGAAGCAGCAATAAAGCACTACTAAGACATTTCTCTGTTCCAAGCTTTACAAGATTTTTCACCACTGCCAACAAATCAGTGCACTAATTCCCTGCAATAATTGTTCTTACAGCAGGTGGAGGCCATAAACAGAGATGAAGAAGCAACCTTTGCAGAGCAATTATTCTCCCACTCCAGGCACTCTCTGTTGCTTTAACTCCATCACTAGTGCCCCATGCAGTAGTACTCCCAGGGAACAAGCAGGTTGTCACTCGACTCTTGAAGAAGCTCATGAAGACAGTGATGCAACTGTGTTCACTTGGAGGGCTTAGCCCAAGCCACCATTTGATCCTCAGGTCTTTGGGGACCACTTATGTTTTCAGAACATGTCAGGCAGACCAACACCAAGCACTAAGGTTATATCACAAAATTAGGGGCTATGTTTTTTATTATTTATTATTAGTGCTGTGCTACTACTCCATTTACTAATGCATTATCATTGTTACTGGGAAAAGAGCTCTAATGACCCTGGAAATTACAGAAAAATATTAGAGAAACAAGTGTGAAAGCCTCAGTTCATTGAAGAGTCAGCACTGTTAGTAGTGCTGCTCAAGAGCCTTTGGTAAGTGGTGTGAAGGCCTCTTGTGCCAAACAACCAGCTAAACTGACTGAAGAGAAAGCCACTTCCCCAGCTTGCCCCTACAATTCACACGGTAAGTCACACAAAAGCAACAGCCAATGGTAAATCCCAAAGTCTCTCAGATCCGTTGGTCAGATGGCTTGTTATATAAAAAATACAATCTACCCTGTATGACATTACTTTTGAAAGTAAACTCTATAAACCAAATAATGGATATAAAATACGACAATTTCACAAAGAAATTGTGAAATACTACTCTGAAGAGAGATGTGGGAACCCAGGAACTAACCCCATTTTCATTGAGTTCTAGGCCTGACCCATGCACCACTGAACAATCCACCCTCATCTCAAAACTTCAGTTTTCTCACCTAGGTGATAATATGGGCTGCTTGCCCCATCCTCACAAGCAGGTGTTTATGTATGGAACTGCCTTAAAAATGACAAGTGCATTTACTAGAACCAATTTAAATAAACCGAAGGTACAGATGATATACTACATCACAAATAAAGGTACAGTTATCATACTATATCAGACAAATATTGTACTATTGGCATTTATAAAGTTTCAACAGCACTTAAGTAATGTTCCATGATATCACAAGCAAGAATCAAAGTAATTTTCAAGACAGCATAGAGCAATAATATTTGCGGACAGTGAAAGGCAAGTTAATCATAGAATCACAGAATGGTAGGGGTTGGAAGGAACCTCTGGAGGTCATCTAGTTCAACTCCCCTGCCAGAACAGGATCACCTACAGCAGGTCACACAGGACTGCATCCAGGCGGGTTTTGAATATCTCCAGAGAAGAAAATTCCACAATGTCCCTGAGCAGCCTGTTCCAGTGCTCTGTCACTCTCAACATAAAGAAGTTTTTCCTCATGTTCAGGCGAAATTTACTATGCTCCAGTTTATGCCTGTTGCCTCTTGTCCTGTCACTGAGCACCACTAAAAAAAATCTGGTCCCATCCTCTTGACACTCACCCTTTAGACATTTACAAGTTCCCCTCTCAGTCTTTTCTTCTCCAGGCTAAAGAGCCACAGATCTCTCAGCCTTTCCTCACAAAAGAAATGCTCCAGTTCTCTCATCATCTTAGTAGACCTCTGCTGGACTCTCTCTAGTAGTTCCCTGTCCTTTTTGAACTGGGGGAGCCCAGAACTGGACTCCAGTACTCCAGATGTGGCCTCACCAGGGCAGAGTAGAGGGGGAGGATGACCTCCCTCGACCTGCTGGCCACACTCTTCTTAATGCACCCCAGGATACAATTGGCCTTCTTGGCCATAAGGGCATGTTACTGCTCATGGTTAGCTTGCTGTCCACCAGGACTCCCAGGTTCTGGAAATGGATGTAAGTAATCACAAAAAATGGGATGAAGTAATCACAAAACAAATAAATAAATTAGGAACAGAAGCTTCTAACAGAGATTAATTTTTCAGTAGTCAATGCCTCGTTACCTCCTTAGCAACACAGAATTAGACTCAAGAGTATCTCATCATATGTAACTTCCTGCAGAGTAACCAGTTAATACTGTATTTTTCGTACTTGCTGACATGGACCTCATTCCATCATAATGGAATATTTTTACTTCTCTCATCTCCTTTACTCCTTCTTCAACACAGCCTTTCTTTAGTTTTTAATTTCTTCAGCCTAAAAACTGCTTCCTTGAAAGCAGGTGAAAACTGATTCAAATTAATAAAGAAAGGAAAGCAATCCCTAAGTTACAAACTGTTGTTTGTTCAATAACAAATATCAATAACAAAGCGTACTCAAGACCACTTCCTTACAGGACTGCCATAAGGAAAGACAATTCTAAGAGAAAAGGAAGATATGGGAATCAATAGAGGGTTTCTCTACAATAAGAAACTCACAAGGAAGAACTAGAGCAACAGAAACTTTCACTAAGCTGAGGCTGCTGTAATACACTAGGTGGTTACTCAGGCCAAATGAGAAAAGTAACCTACTTGACTTTTGGAAGGGCTCATATGAACCATAAGACAATATTATGTCATGACTGTTTTTCTTGCTGAAATTAGTTTAGTCTAACAAGTCCTGGAGGAAACCCACATCTTTTATCACCCTAAGAAAAAAAGTTTCATATTTTAAAACATGCTGCTGTTTTTTCTTTTTTCTCATTGTGGAAGCAAAATTGATTTTCCATACAGGAATTCTAAAGATAAAGGGTTCAAAGTGATTTGATGGAAGCAGACCTACGTTTTTAAAGTGGCATGAAAAAATTTAAGCGGGAGGGGCATTAGCAACTAATTCAGAGATTTAAAATTAAGTTAATGCAATGATTTCCATCCATTTCCCTTCAAAGCGAAGCTGAGGTTTTGTCTCAGACATTTTCTTGTCAAAGAAAGTGCAAATGTGATAACAATAAAGGAATTAGGCACTGGCTTGCATTCTATAGGACTGAAATAAAAGTTAGACAGGCACTAAAAAAAAAAAAAAAAGAAAAAAAGAAAATTACCTCCTTTACATGACCAATTCTAACCTCTATTTGCAGATCAACAATATATTTTCACCAGTAAAGTATGGTCAGGCATATGCATCTGTTCACATGTCAGAGTTCCGCCAGGAAAAAATATATAAACTTACCTTGTCTTGGTTTTCCTTATTTTTGTAACACAAATTTCCAATCAAACGAATGAGATGAGATTTAAAACCCACAGCTGGATGTGAAATTTCTTCCTGTGCTGTCATAACATGTGTTGCAGTGAAAATATTTACAGCCTGTTTCCCAGCCAGATGAGTTAATCTCAGGGTATCTACCAAAACCAAGAATATTTTAATTAATTACCACATGAACATTAGTCTCACTTTGGACAGAGCTTTACTACTAATTGTTAGGTTCAAAGTTGACCAACATAATTTTGGATATTCAGCAATACGTCATGAGAACTTTGAAAGTTTTCTTCATTTCTTAATTTGTGCTAGTATAACCATAAAAGGCCATCCCAAGGCCCGACGGTCTTTTTACACATTTACATAGTTCAGACACAAAGTCTGAAGGCTGGTGCTATTGGTCTCTACTTGGAGTCAGAATTCGTAGGCTCTTGCTAATTCTGGCACCATAAATGTATTGCTAAAACCAAGTTTTTTAGAAGACTTCCTTCAGTTCAAAATTGTCGTAGCAACACATACTAATTATAGAATTACTTTTTTCTCTCTGTTCCTAGCTCTGTAGCATGAGAAAAGATTTCAAGTACATCTAGCACCTTGACACATGTTTACAAATCCTTCAGTGCCATAATCTTGTCAACTAAGAAATACTAATGTTCCTGTATGTTAAATGCTAGTTTAGAGCAACTAGGATTTTTTTTTCTACAATGGTCCAGAGAGAAATCAGGGAAAAGGGAAACTAAAATCAGTGATAACAATATCCCACAAAGAGACCATGTCCAGAAGAAAAGTTGAAATCACGTGAACACCTGAGAGCTCATACAGTTGAGAAGCACATTCATTCACTAAAGGCTGTGCCTGTATCTAAAAATTAAGAAGTGTTTCTCCTCTAAGCAACCTGCAATACTGATAAGTGCCCTGGCATGCCAGCGTCCCCAAGATGCTTTATGCAACTTACTGAACCAATAGAGATGTAACAAAACCAGGTTATAGCATAGGACAGTAATTAAGCTGTATGCTTCTTCTGCTCTAGATGTGACAACATCCATAGTGGAATAGGCACTAGATTTCCTGGGTTTAAATTAGAAGAAATGTCATAGGTCCTCATATTGTAGTTTCACTCCCAGATGACTGATACAGAAGAGAAAAATCTCTGTGCTGATGGAGATAAGTATGTTTTTGGTAGTTCTTTTAAAAATATGAAATTATAATAGGGCCTAAAGGCCTCCCATATGACAGCTACAACTTATATTTGTTCATATTCTGAACTAGGCAACCCCAATTGCCCCTAAAAAATGTCATAATAAAATAGCTTTTAACACAATCTTCTTCCATAGAAACTTGCTTTGTAAATTCACAAAAATCAGCAGCGTCTCACATCAGTCTCACAGAATTACACTTTGTGTGCTTCCTTGCCTTACAGCCTTAGTATTTTCCCAGACAAACACATAAGAGGGAATTCCATGGTTTTCCCAAACCTTCTGCCCGCCCTTAAGAGGGAACCCTGAACAAAAGGATTAAAACCAAAAAATGAAACAAAACAAACTATAAAAGGGGTTTTGTTGCCACAAAACACTTCAAATTCTATTACAGTTCAGGAAAAAAAATGCAATGAGCAGTGCACCTACTTGGAAATAGAAGTACAAGAAAAGGTGGAAGAAAAACAGCCAAAACCAATGACGCCAATCCAGACAGAACAGTGCTCCTCCCAAACACTGCACATCAACACAACACAGCAACTGCTCCCGGGATGTCACCCGTGCTCCCAACCAAAGGACACCTTGGTCTGCCATGTTCTCAGTAATCCAAAGAGCAGTTATTCCAAAATGTCCCTCGGTTCAAAAGACCATTTACCTCCCTGGTGATACTCCCCAAACACTGTGCAATCAAGCTGTTAACAGGTGCTAAAGATATGATTTACACTGCAGTATTACTGTCTAACTTAATCCAACAATTATCGGAAAAAGCAAAACATACTCCTTAGTTGATACTTAAAAGGTCATTCAGATATTTTTCAGATCTTTCAATCAATCTTTTAGTAACCTCCAATAGGAAATTTCTCATTATATAAACTGAAGAGAAGAACTGCTTCATCAAAAGATCTATTAGATGAAAATATTTTGCTCTATTCATCCTTACTCTTCTGGTTTTCAGAACTAAATATGAAAGGCGGCATAACACAATACACAGTTTTTCACCCTTTCTGCTAATCCAAGATTAAAGGAGTCTTGTAGCAAAAAGGTTGTCTTAAAGAGAAAGTATACAAGTTGATAAATTCCTGTTGGCTGTGGGAAATACATAGGACGCACATGGTAGCAATGTTCTAGCCTACAACCATTTTTATTAGCCTGCAGAGAGCTTCGGAGAAAAATCAGTCTGTACACAGCTAGAGAAAGGAGAAGTGGCCTACAGGCCTACTAACTGATCTGCAGCTCCTTAAAATTCTCATTTAATTTGAAAGACATACAAGCATTCAGATGATACAATGCACAACTTTGAGTCTCCTCAAAATACACACACTCAAAACAGATCCTGTTGTTAGTCATCTTACTGTAAGCAATAAAACTTTGAACCTGTCATCAAAAATAGAGGTTTGGTTGTTTTCTGGGGTTGGGTTTTTTCTGTGCGTTTTTGTTGTTGTTGGGTTTTTTGGTTTATTTTGTTTTAGCCAAAATATTACATATTTCTGTTTAAAATCCATGAACTTTAGCAGTTTTCTCAGAAAACGGTGGCATACCTCAGTCTCACAAAGTGCTAAGACTTAGGAAGGCACAGGTCAGTATATGTATACTCCCTCCTCCCTGAGTATAGAGGGTCTCTCTGGACCATCCTGGCTTAATTTTCTTCGTGTACAGCCCTTCATTTGTTGTTTCTTAGCAGGAGAAAGCTTCTTTCAAACCGATATTTAGAAGTCACTGAATTTCATTAAGAACATTCAAACTGTACTTAGTTTCAGTTTTCAGGAATTTGGGAAACAGAAGGGAACGGGCATGGAAAAGTCCTTTTTCTACTGAGGAAACTTCTTCCACACACATTCAGCCAGTGGAAGAACCTAGGAAGCAGCTGTCCTTTGCACAACTCTTACTGTATAAATAGGGCATTGCTGACAGTTGAATCAAGGCTTTGTTGGGTAATAGGAGCCAACAGGGCAAGCAGAGAAGCAGAAAAATTCCACGAACAAATCAAATATTTGAAAATGTAGATTAACTCAATCTTCTATTTATTTATTTTATTAAAAGGTCAGAATTATAATTACCAACAGTTTTGAAAAACATGTTTTCATTCACAGAGCAACATGATTTGGAGCAAGCCAACAGTTAATAAACCTTGTGGCTTTTCACTCACCTATGGCTGTTTCAAGCAAACTAGGCAAAGCCTGTAGATGTTCTAGTTGTCCGTTGTTCGATGTCATTTCACAAAGAACGTCAAGAAGACGAATTGTAACCAGTGCTTCCTGTAAATGGAAATAAAATTTCTGAAAAGGGCTTATGAAGGATACCATAAAAACATAAAACTGATTACCTAAACAGAGGACAGGAATCTCAGCACCTCAGGTTCTTTGCGGATCTTCTAAACTGCCAAGAATAAATCCATATAAAATAAGGAGGTCTTTCTACAATAACAATCATGTATTACACTGCAATAATTTCTTTTTTACGGTCAGTGTTATATGTGCCCTGAAAAATCATGGGGAAACCAAAACAGAGCCATAAGGGATAAAATTTTAACAAAAACACAGTAGCTTCCAAAAGCAGAAATGCCGAAAATTACTAGCTGAGAAAATTATTTCTGTATAAATGTTTTCTTTGAGTTTATTCAGTAGGAGCGTCCCACTTTAAAGACACAAACACCGCCTGCAAGACACCAATTTGTTATCCGCAGGAATTCTGTAAAGTTCTGTGGTCAAATGAACTTTGGCTGCGAGAATTTACATTATTCTTGGGTAAATACGATTGGGATCATAGATGCAGCATTTTGGTTAGGTACCAGACACACAATTTTATTTGCATATTATTTATTCAGCCAGAGAACTATTTTTTCTCACAGGCTATGTTGATGCGTGCTTATAATGACAATCCAGCACTTACAGAAACTACCTTAAGAGCATATGGCGTAATTTGGAACACCACACATTGCTCAAGAACTAGACTGTGACTGCAAGATGATTCCACACAAGGTGTGGTATGTAAACTACAAGTAGCCTTGAAAAGGCTCAGACATAGGTCACAGTGACTATTCCTGCCTTGTCTGGTCCAGGACAAAGAGATGTTTACTTACCAACAGTATAATATTTTTCAATCCATATAATCAATTTAACATAATTGAAGTAATCAACAGTGTTCAGTAATTAAGTACTACAATTATATCCATTCTTTGCTCCTTCCCATGCTCCTTGAAGACAACAAATCGGTCCAGGTCCTAAAGCTGAATTTTCATTTTTCCTCACACAGGTGTAAGAAGGCACAGGTCTCACCCTAAGTTATACAATAAATTGCTTCCAACAGCACAAAAACAGCCTCTTGAATGCATTGGTCATTGTCCTGTTATAAAGCAAGAATACCCCAACCGTATTTCAGAGACAGTAAGCAGGTATTTACAATTCGTAAGCCATTTTGCATTGTTACAAGTCAGTACCTTAACCAAAAGCCTCTTCAGCTCATACACTTAATACTTACCTTTGCACAACAAAACAATAAAAGGTTACACGCTTTACAACCCTAGAGCAAACGGGTATCAATAGGCAACTATCAGTCACACCAGTAAGGCACAACTGCCCTTGTTGCTGATGTGTACTCCATGACCCACGTACATAACGCACGCTCTGTAGCAGCAGATACTATGAGGTATGGCTTTTTCTTTCTCAGCCTTATCCTTTTTCAATACCACTGCCAACCCTCCCCCCCCTTTTTTTTTTAAAAAAAAAATGCCTTTCTTCACTGTCCTCTACATATTTCTTCCCAGGGTTTTATACTACCATCTCTCCCTTTCTCTTATCTCACCATCTGGCTCAGTTCAGCAACAGCTCCAACTAGATTTGAGAAAAGGAACAGATTGTGTAAAAAGCACAAAAGAAGCCCCAAATTCTTATCTACATTAGAAACTTGATACTTTCAAAAAAACTGCTTAAACATTTCTGGTTCGGATCCCCCCCTGCCCCGGCCCCAATTTTCCAATTTTAGTTTTTTTTTGCCCTCCACCTGTACACAAAAAAGGCAATAAAGCAGAATAGTTTCTTTAAGTTCAGCCACAAGATGCTGTTCAAACCCCAGAATATTTTGAAATCTGACAGCAATCTTGATGTGGATATAATGTGAAAAGGAAATAATTGAAGAGATTTTAAATAAACATATTTCGAGAGAGACTTGGAGAAGATGTTCCTTATATAGAGATGAAATAAGAACTTACAATCCAAGGGAGGACTTTATTTTGCAAGTATGGTTGAAAGTTAGTGAAAGCAAACTGATGCTGAAGTCAGGCTTATAATGGAAAAGCTATTTTAAGCATTGGTTTAAGCACTGCAGAAGCATATGATTAGCTTTTCATTGGTTTGAGATGGAAACTACAAGACCTGAGGTTCCTTAGGCAAAAAAGGCAGTGTCTACATATAATAAATTAAACAGCGGATGGGACACCCAGACAACATTTTTGGGAGTCAGGCCAGTTCAAGGACTGTTCCCAAATGTGGCCTTGCAGTTCTGGAGACCAAGACAGCTTACTGGTACAGACACAGCCTGACCAAGGTTCTTGGCTTCAGGGCCACAGAAAAAGTCTAGGCACAGTTTAGTTTCATACCATAGATGTTGCTTAAAGCATTTTTAACGACAAACCCTGCATGCACAATTGCATTTTCTTCAGTCAAGTACAACTCTTACGCAAAAAATAAAATATTTATATAATTGAGGAAAAATTCGTTCGTTTTTTGATCATTTCCAGTAAGAAATTAAAGAGTTTTATAAATTTAAGCTGGAATTTATCTTTTCCCATGGCAAGAATATATTATGAATAAATGCGTACACACAATACGCACATACACACATTTTTGAAAAACTATTCTTGTCATTGCTCTCCATTTATTCAGCTGCTATGACTTATATTTTGTGCTCATTAAGTGATCCACATTTCCCACCAAATAGTGATACTCATCACACATCACGTTTATGTGACAGAATGATAAAAAATGTCAAGCAGGGCACGTTTTACAGTAATATTCTCAATACTGCTGTCCCAGCACCTTCAAGTTGGACAGAGAACTCCTTCTGCTAGGCATACACAAATGTTTTTTTCCAAGAACTGAAACCACAGAATACTTGGAAAGTAACCACACAGGATTTAAAAAAAAAAAAAAAAAAAAAAAAAAAAAAAAAAAAAAAAAAGTGGGGGGAGGGGGGGCGGAGCAAGAGCAACAGGGGTGGGGGGAGGAAGACGGAGTTGTCTCAGTATATGTCCTCTTACTGCCAAGCTGATACCTTTTCCAGTAGTTGTCAATTAAGTTTTCTAACATAACTTAGACTAAGCAGTTGAGGGTGGGGAAGCTGCGCTTCTTGGATAGATAAGAGACCACTGTGTGGTCAGGTTTTCTTTTATGCATCCAACTATCATCTCCTCATAAAGTGATTTTTTATAACTTTTCATAACGCCTCTCAACATACATTTAAAATTCTTCTGTCTATTTAAACAAACAAACAAACAAAAAATCAGCAGGTAAACCACCATGTAACATTATGATATAAAAGCATTTAAAGATCAGTATTTTTTCAGTTTGATAGTTAGTTATGACAGCCGTTCTCAAGAGTTTCTACAAATGAAACCACTACAGGTTAATTTTATTTTAACAATAAAATGCTTCAGATTACACGTGACACAATTTCAACATACCACTGTGGTCACTTGGCAAGATAGAAACTACATGTGACTTTTTAAAAATATCTTTCTTAATACCTTAAGAAAATACACTAACAACAATTCTGAAACTAAGCATGATTAATCAGTGACAACCAGCGATTAACTAATTCTACATTTGACTAAAACAGATTAGATTTCTCAGGCTTTCTGTTTGCTGGCTAGTTGTCCTAGAAAACAAAAACAAACAAAACCAAACAACAAACACAACAAAAAAGCCCCCAAAGAACTCACCCCTAAATCAGCTGAAAACCTTAAAACTTTATCTATGCGAGAGGGGCCAAGAACTGAGACCATTATGATCTCGCACTGCCTTCTCACAACACGATGACCTAACACAGCACAAATAAGGTCACTGCAAGTTACAGTGCAAGCTGCTTTCCGTATTACCAAAAATGTTGTTAGATCTTCAAGCATCTGGTGGAAAGTAAGAGGGAAAAATAGAACATCAGATTATTTGAAGAGACCTCTACCCTTAGATGGCCTAAACCTCCTAACTGCACTATATGGTGCGGCAAGTAGCCAACAACTCTTGGATACTTCATAAGGAGGAAATAAAGTAAGGCCATCCAGGGCTCAGCTCTGCATCAGAGGTTCCCAAAGTGCAACCCACAAACCATCTGTGACCCATAAAAGCCTTCCTATTTAGCTTGCAAAGGGACTTCATTGTGGCCATCCTCAACAGAACCAGTTCATTAAGTCTGAAGCAATAACAGATTTCTTCCAAGTGGACTGCAGTTGGGGCAAGTGTCTGGGTGCTCAGGAGACAGGAGCCGTCTGCCACTAGGCGCCCAGCAAGCTCTGCAACTTGATGCTGTGGACACTAGCTGGCCCCAGGAGTGCTGCCTTATCACAGCCATGCGAGGTCCACCGGAGAGCCCCAAATCATGGCGAAATGGAGAAGAAAGCCCTTGCTTGCAGGGAGGATCACTACACATTTCAGATGCTTTCCCTGCACTGAGCCAATCATAGACACCCCACAACTGTCCATGATCAGAACTTGATGTTCCAGGTCCCAAACAGATCAGGAACATCTGCCTTAGAAGTAGCCACATGCATTTTCAAAGAACGAGTACTCAGGATCTTAATGATATATTCATTATCAAGTTATCATCAGTTATTTAGGTTTTAAAACCCCCTGAAGATTTACTTACTTTAGTACTGCTAGAAAAAAAAAAAGCATTTACTGCATTTTAACCCAAATTTTAAGAGGGGTGGGGGTGGGAAGATGCTGCTTCCCACCTATACATAAAATAAGTATTTTCAGTTTTGATTCATATTTGACTAAAATACAGTTCACAACCCAAAGAAATTACAGAAGTGATCCTTAGTAAGACCATAATAAAGCATCCAAATATGTGATAACTTGAACACTTTTAAAATCTTGAGATCTTTACAACGTGACAGTTATTTCTACCTCAAAGTACTGTATTCTTTGTCATCCTCAAATTAAAGGCAAAATTGGCCTGCTGTCTTACAGATTCTACTGCAAACTCTGCCACTGCTTTCCCAATATAAATAAACGGCGAACGTACTCAACTGCCACTTGTGTAATAGCAGCAATGAAGATGCACCACTTCAGATTCTAGTACTATAGCTTTTTTTATCAGTCATACCTCATCTTCTGTGTCTGCTGCAGAAGTTAACTTGAGCACAGCTTCACATTTCTCCTGGAAACAGCCTGCAAGGAATTCAGCGTGTCTCGTGAACACATTCATTTCTTCACTGGTAACTGGGTTCTCACTTACTTTCGCCATCATCAGCTCTAACAAAGTAACTCTAGAATGAGAAAACAACTTGTTAATCAAATTCACTAAGCCATATAGCATTATCAGTAGAATAAGCAGATGTAGTTGTTAAAGATGATACAAACAATTAACACGCTACTAACAGAGCTGATTTAAAAATTAAGACGCCTTATGAACTCCAGCAATCAGTTCCTGTTTGCTGGTTTATTTCTGCACACTATTAATTTAATTCATCATTAAATTAATACAATCTGGCCAGACAGTCAAGTCAATATTTTTCTCAAGTCTATTTCAATTTCTAATTTCTTATGTCCTAACACAACATTACTGTGACTGTGTATTCCGTATGACTAAAATTTCCACCAAAACAGCTCTTAAAAGCTGTTGTTAAGTTCAGCAAAATAAACACAGACTATTTGACAGCTTCCGTTCGAAAATACCAGCTTTTCATAGCCCTCACCGTGCACGCAGTCCTTCACTGATTTTCCTCCCCAACCCCAAACCAATTCTGAGCAGGAACAGGGGAAATAAAAACTGTTACGCACACTCGGTTCTTTACAGTTGTTTTAGAATTGCCAGTAGATGGACTACAGTAAATCCAAGTTAATTACTCATATACCCAGCAAGTTACTCAGTGTATTAAACCAGCAAGTAAGTGGATACATAGCGAAGCTGCTCTATAAAATGTATTTGGGTCATTTATTTTAACAGCTTTAATGCTGTTTCATTTCCAATATCCCTGCATGTTGTTAGGGCAAACTGGGAGTATTTTGTGGAAGCAGGACTTTTAACGCAGCAGAGGCCCTCCGACAGCTTCCCTGTTCAACTCCAGAGCAGAGAGCACGTGGGTTAGTGAAGTCCCACTGTAATTCTCTCAGCCTGAAAGAGTGCTATTTATTGAATGAATTCAAGAGCAGGCTCAGGGTTTTCTTTCACTAAAATATTTGCAATTCAGATGAAAGGACTGACATTTAAACATGCGAAATAGTTCAAATGCTTCTTCTTTTTCTAAAAATTTACCAAGCGGGTTGTCACAAGGGGAAGAGAAATGTCTTTTTCAGTGGAAAAAGCACGGTCACTGCTTTATTAACCTCCAAGAACCCACCCCTATTAATCACGTAACAGCTACTCAGTTCTTGCTAAACTTAACCCTCAATGTTATTTTGTCTTGCTAAACCTAACCCTCAGCTGCATTAAACAGTTATCTGAATGAGGACAAAAAGCTTTTTCATCACGGTAGCACAGAAATGTGCTCAACACATTTGGGAAAGGGTGGACTCCAGACAGAAGGCTGTCAAACACTGGTAACCTCTCTCACAGGCTTCACTTACAGATGTGACGCAGCACTGACACAGAACAGTTGTTCTGTTTATTCTGCAGGTTACAACTGGGTACCACACGTTTCCCCATCTACAAACTACCAGAGTCCAGTTACCCAACATCCTTAACTGAACGAAGGCTTTCAGATTTGGCATACTATACAGAAATCAAGGTAAGTGCACAGACATGTCATTCATCCCCAAGACAGGGCCAGATTTTAATGCCAGTTTTTACCAAGTTTAGAGCCTTTCAAGCATATACTCAGCTAAGAAAACAGGCTGCTCATAGACTTCATGATTACAGGAATTATTCCAGTAAAGTATTCCCTTCTGCGTAACAAAATCCTAGCTCTTGCTGCACCAATAATCCAAATAATACATATTTTTAAATGATAAGCAATCCTTCTGTAAGAAGCTGGAGGGTCACCACATACTTCCATAAACTGTATTAGTGAGATGAAATTGTTGCCAATAGGGAAATTTTTTGCATTACTCTTCCTCTTGCAGTATAATCAGGTGCCCTTTTAGACAACCATAATCCTTCATGAGAAAGAGGAATGACATTAAAACACCAGCTGTGTGTAATTTCTTTTAAAGTTTTCTGTTCTCTTTAGGCATTCACATCAAAACTGTTTTCCTGAGTTTTCTTCCAGACGCAGTCATTCAGGACATGCCCATCTTTCCCCTGAATTTCAAGCAAGTCTTCCCATTCAGCCAACAATTTCCTGAGAGCTATGCTTTTTGTTCTGGTGCAAGTTGCCTTACATTCCTTTCTTCTATTGTTTCTCTCAGTTTTCTTCCAAGACTCACCCAATTTCTTCCAAGTTAGTTCTCCCACACAATGCATTTTGCTCATTTCTTTTAAACAATCTCACAACTATTTACCCATTCAGATGACAGTCTGTTCCTACTTGTTTGCCTATAGCTAAATACAACACGGATCACAACTGTTAGTACCAGTTTTAGCATGTTTCATCATGAATTTTTGTAACACTCAGTTCAATATCTAAAATATCATCTTGTATATGATATTGATGATTATATTTCTATTTGGAAATGAACAGGGCATAAGTGTCATCTTCCATTTCTTTAGGCACCACTTAGGAAGACTTTTTGTCAGTCTCTTGCTTTCCCCCCCCCCAGGCAAATTTAAACCAGTTCTTCCTGAAGCCGACAAAATCGGCAAGAACTTAGAACAACTACTAACAAGTATTTGCAATCATCAGTAAAACACATTGCTGTCTCCTACAGTTTGCAAATAAACCACAGCATTAAAGTGCAATTTAAATCTGGAAGCTCATTATTACAAAATAAAGTGATGTCTTTCTAAACATGTCTAAAAATAGTATTGTAAGATTCTATCAATTTTATTATCACCAAACAATATTTTGTACCAAGCGTGCTTGGTTTATAACCTCTTCGCAAGTGCCAGAGACTTGGGACATTTTTTTCTCTGAGACTGGGACTTCTCTTTCCTGAAACACTTCACTGACAGCAATGGTTCTATGAGACAAATTAGGTCCTTCCTTGAAACTTCCAACTCTTTCATCTTGGAATGATACTTGTAAACATCCTATTAAATGAAAACTATAACTCAATGCTACCTTCAGCTATTCTGTGTCTGTGAGCGTTACCAAGACCAAAAACCCACCACAACATTGACATTAGCAGCCCTGTAGCTGAACACAAGCAAGAACCGGTGCTGCTTACACTACTTGAGTGCCCAGTTCCTGGCTGGCAATTCGACCAACGGCTACATCATTCACTGAGAACACTTCACAAAAAATAACACAAAAATCAAAATCGTTGAGCATCTTAAAAACACCTGAAGCTATTCAGTTGCATTTTTGTTGCTGTTAATTAAAGTAAGACCCTTTCTTAAAAGGGACAATACAGATGTACTCATTTTGAAGATTTTACAATGCAATTAAGACTATCAAGGCATTAGCTTACATTGTCCATGCTCAAGGCTAACTCAGAATAAAGCAAAGTAGGCTTTTTCTAAATACTCCTGCCAAATACTTGCACATACGTGCAGGGAAATCTCAAATCTGGCAAAGAATTCAAGAATCTACAATCTTTTGTCTCAATACCGTACCCATATGTTTCTGCAATAATCACTTGCATAGAAACAGCAGGCATTGTCACATCATCATATACTTTTCAAAGCCAGCATACCATTAAAAAAGCTGATCATATTATCACAGTCAGGCCACTTGCAAACTCAGACATGCAACACCAAAATGCCTAAATTTGTTTGGAAATGAAAGAGAAAGGTGTCCAGAAGTCAGAAATTTTTTTTTTTTTGAAAATTCAGATTCCAAATCCTCTTCTACAAAAAAGAACTATTTCATGGCACGCACCATGGCCACTGTATCACAAATGCACAGATTTCAATTACAGGAAATACTTTGAATAGTGTGAATACTGTGAATAGTGCAAATAACTGCGGTTATGCAACTGCATATACTTTGGTTATCTAAGGCAACTGCCAACTTGAAGAGTCACCACTAACATATGTATTTGCAAGCTTTCTCAGCATAGCTAATTTAGTTTCAGTAAATACATTTAAAATTAGTGTACTTAATGTGCACGATAGGCAATACCGTAACTGAGAGTTACCATATATTCATGAGCTCAAGCTGCTTTCCCCAGACACCTCAATACCACATCTGTCCCTTCTTCATTTATATGACTTAGTCAGCCTTATTGGACACCCAGTGTGGCAACTCTTGCGGTGAAGGCTCCTTGTCTCGTTGTGAAACAATGAATTCCCCATGCTTTGGTTTATACGGTTAATTTTTTCTCCAGTTAATGACAGACAAAATGTTTTTATCTGAATTGGATTTGTCTCCTCATATATCTCAAAAGAATGCATTCTTAAATATGCTAACTTTATATAGGAAGATGCCACGGCAGAGTTTTCCTCTATAGCTCTGATGCAAAAGGACTGTTTCTACATCACTTACATATGTCTGACAGTAAATTAAGCAGTACAAAATTCATAATAAACTGTACTGTGATTTTTTGGAAAAACTTAAATTGAGTTTACTTGATTTGCAGAACTCTTGGGACTGATAATAAATTCAGTGAATATGCTGTGACTAGCCATCCCATATGTCATCATCCATAAAGCCTTTCAGCCTTTCAGTCCAAGTAGCCAATCACAGTCTGTAGCACGGTGCATGAAACAAATCTAGCCTAGATCTTTCCAGAAACTGATTACATCTATTGCTTTAAGTACATCTGAACACCCTAACCCAGTCCTGGCTGTCCTCAAGGGGATTATGAAAACATACCAACAAACTTCCATTCGTGACATCCCCAAAAGAATTAAATCTAGCTCATTTACTAAAACCGTCTTTCCTGCTAACTGGTTAAGGAGACCCTACCTCCAGACACAGTAAGCACACAGCTCATCTTCGTTCCCATTTGGTCAGCCTGAATAAAGGAGGAAGACAGTGTTTCCCTCCTTGTCATTCCCATCCCTTGTTTTCCATCCCATACCTATGCATTAATGAT